GGTCACATTGGAAACCAGGGGACTGGGTGACAAGGACCATGTGCCCAAGATTCCCAGCCAGAGCTCAGGTACCAATAGGGTGAATGCAGATGGCCTGCTTAGTGAAGGTGGGTCAGGCCATAGCCACCTCTGACCCTCAATGCTGGTGACATGGAGCCACATCAGTGATGCTCAGTGGCAGAGAACATGCAACAGTGTGCCACATTTCATTACCACCATGCCACAGAGAACCCAGAAGAATTACCTGAGATAATAGCGCCGTGAAGGTCTGCCTTTAGGAGCTTGGCTTGAATCATCTGTGGCTGCCTAGGAGATGAAGAGAGCCTTAATCTATACCACAGGAGAGTAGGGAACAAAGCAAACCAGCTCACAAGTACCTGCAGCCAGCTGTGCTTAGAATGCTCCAAAACTTGGGATTTGTGTTCATCACGCTTTGCAAACAGAACTCACGTGTCTGGCTTGAGCCCGTTGCACAGGTCCCGGATGTACTGCTTCCAGAGTTCATGCAGAGGGAGAAAAAGGCTGTATCTGCCACAGTCAGAAGCAGGTGGAAAGTAAGACATGAGCTTAGGTTACAATGTTCAAGCAGCAGAGCTGGGCTTGAGGTCGAGAATGAGGATGTGGGTGCACTAGGGCCTTGTCATAAGGCCTAGATGCCCTGCTGACGTGACTAAGGTCAAATACCTTCCTCTCTCAAACCTCAATTTCCTCCCCAGCAGAACCTTTTTCAAGGCTAAATTTCTGCGAATGAGAAGGGCAGGAGTGAACCTTTTTCTTTGTCCCGTCACCCTTCCTGTTTGCAAGATATGGCCACGACAGCTGAGCCCCAGTTGTGACAGCAGCCTCAGTGGTGGTGCATAGCCTGGTCCGACGGCTGTAGGACCGTCCACCACAGCAACCCAGTGCTGCTCACTCACACTTCTTTTCATGGGAGAAATGAATTTCAGGCCTGTTTAAGCCACTGCTACTGTGAGGTTTTGTCTTAGGCGGTGCAGGTTGTCAGGTAGATCCCTGTAAGAGTTAACAGGCCTGAAGATGAGGATGGAGGAAAGGAGGGCCAGTCGGAGGCCATTATCATTTGTCTTGGTGTCTCACGGGGACTCCATTCACACAAACCCATGGGCTGAGAAACAACAACAGCAAGCCCAAAATAAAACAAGCTCCACCTGAAGGAGCCAGTGAGCAGGCTCTGGGTCAGTGGAGGCCCACTAGGGCATCTCTGGGGCAGACAGGCAGCAGCTTTTGCTTTCCTCGCACCCAGCTGATTCCTCAGAGGAACCCCAGGCCAAATGACATGCTCCTGTCTTCTGGGGTGTGGGAGGCTATTTGGCTATAGAGCTCTATGTGAATGCCTATAAATAGTGGCAAGATGTGCAAACCACTGTCGGCTGGAGGAAGACGTCCTCCCACAAGTTGGTGATGCAGTCCTTTCAGAAACTTCTGGAATGTGTAGATAGGACCTTTCCTTGGCAGTTACCTCCTAGAGGGTAACTCTGTCTTAGTAATATTAAAAGCTACAGAGACATACATATTAAGGAATATCAGTTCCTCTTTTTCTAGAAAGTCGAAAGCCAAACAACCTGTTGCCATGGGCAACAGACTAACTTATGGCAGTGGTAAGGCTAGGCCAGGAGCCAAGTGAGTCCTGAGTCTCCCCAAGCTAGTCCAGAGAAGCCAAGGCCACATACAAGAGAACTGGTAAGGGAAGGCTGCCCCCTTGTGGCCACATCTGCCACAAGGGAGAGGCCGCTGAGCTTAAGGGGAGCAGGGCTGCCCAGGAAGACTAGGCAATGGTGCGTGGGAAGGCCAGGAAAGAGGGGAGTACCTCTGTTGCTCTGGGTTAATGTCAAAGAGCCGCAGGTCTCTCCTCTGCCTGGCTGACAGGCCTTTAGGTTTCTTCCTCCTTTCCTTTTGCTTTTGGCGAGTGGAGTACTCCAGGACCACAGCCTTGCGCTGCAGGTGGTCCTCACAGGCCTGCTGGCTCATGTGGGGCATGCTCCGCTTCAGGAAGGCCCGCATGAAGGCCTCTGCCCTCTTGGCTCCCGGAAGCTGCTTGGAGACACGGTGGTGTGGCTTACTGCTCTGGTCCCAGACACCAGCCCCACTACCCACCACTCCTGAGAGCCACTGTCTTTACTGACAAATATGTCTACCCATTGAGGCTCACATATCCCTCATTGGCCATGTGTCTGCTACCCACAGCTACCAAGATGTAAAAGTCACATCAGTATGTTAACAGTTATACTATTCGACCCACAGCAGCCAGGACAACTACTTCTTTGAGTTACGCTATTGATTTACCTCTCCCTACCCCTGGAAAGATGACTCATTGGTTAAGAGCACTGGCTGCTCTAGTAGAGGAACCGGGTTCAATGCCCAGCACCCACATGATGCCTAACAACTGTCTGTATCTCCAGTTCCAGGGGGATTCTGACACCCTTTTCTGACCTCCAAAGGCACTCCACGGCACAGGGTGCTTACACACATGCAGACAGTACGTACATACATATAAAATAAATAACAGAAGCAAAACCCCAAAACATCTTTGTAACT